TGTACTCTGTGATCAACACTGTTTAAACAGTCTGACAACCCGCTGCCTATTATTGCAATACTAAGCCTCTGGGGGCAATTGACAACATTTGGTCCAAACCATAGTTTCCATGTGATGTCAGAGCTACTGGGACACGCCCACCTGGTGGACAAAACAGTACAGTGGCCCTTTGCCCTCCAGCCATCCATTGATTATCTTCAAGTTTAACTTAGCCAAAATGCAGCAAAATGTGAGCACACCTCTCCTAAACCCACCTCACAATCCAAATCACACAAATCCCTGCTTCTCCACTGAAATCCAGACAGTCAGTGGTGGTCATTTAAGAGGAATGATTTACCTGACACTGGAAAACTACTTAGTTAACTTTTATGTTATATTATGACAATAATATGACATATTAATACTACTAGAACTTTTCTGGCTCTACACTGTAAATGTCCAGGTCACAAAACATAAGATTTACGCATGGTACTTCATTTAAGCTAGCTATATAGCACTTGCCTTTGCTTTAAAAATACATTTATTGTTCTTCAGCTCCCACACGATGCCGTTATTTACCCATCCTGACTGAAAATACATATGGTCCCTTGGTTTGGATATGTTAACTGCTGTGTCTTAAGAAGCATCACAGTTGAAAAACTGGGATACTTTTTAATGGTTTCATAAAGAATTTGCTCACCTGTCACATCTGTCTCAAAATACTGTATAAGCACAGTATATGAACAATCAGACAACAGCACTTGGTGATGGTGGAAAGGAAAACCTTCCTTTTAACAGGAAGAAACCCCTGGCTGAATCAGGCAGAGGGGAAACCATCTGCCATTACTGGATGAGGATGAGAAGAGGGAGACAGAACAATAACTAATCATTAAATGCAAAGTGGGATATAAACACACAGAGAGCAAAAAGGTGATTTGGGTTAGTGAAGATCAAACACTAGCAGCTTCAGCATGTTGCAGTGTAACTGTGGGAGAGTTCAGAGTCATTTGATCCAGCCCTGACTATAAACTTTGTCAAAAAGGAACATTTCACAACCAAACCTTACCTTCCATTCATCAGATGTTTGTTTGTTTCAGTTTTACAAATCATTGAGCTCCAGAATGAGATATGGGACCTGCAGAACAAGGATGTTAATGGGACAGCTGGTGACCGGATAAAAGGTACTTTAAGGTTTAAGGTGCTGATTGAGGGTGACACAAAGTCATAGTAGGTGACTAAATGTTATTAATACAATTCACTGTTTTTTGCAGCGCTACAAAACAGAATAGACACACTCATGACTCAAATAGGCAGCAGTGATCGAGAAAACAC